ATTTCCAAGTTTCTACCCACTGATGCTTTAGCTTTACATACTCCTAACGTAGCCATTCCAGAAGACTTACAATGTGCACATATCACGGGGTGTGAACAGAATACACCTTCACCTCATTGCCTGAAAGTGAGCCAAGAAAGGCTAAATTTCCCATCTTTCCAATCAGTGTCCTTTGGTTATGCAAACATATGGTTACCTAAAGGGTGGTTCTTCACATGTGGGAAAGACACTTTTAATTACCAGATAGATCACTTTTCACCACCCCACACGGTACAAAAGGGCCGAGGTACTAACAGAGGATTGTGAGTCATCTCGCACTCTTCTGAATGCGGCAGAATACAATGCTTTGGCTGTCTCATTGGTGGGAGTTCCTGCACTTGCTCTAAGGGCACATGTCAACATAAATTCTGTGGCCTGCAACTTGGCTAAAACTATAAATGCCACTTCAATAGCCTTGTCTGCCATCAATCAGGAGATGATAGAATTACGCAAGGCCATTTTGCAAAATAGGGCAGCCATCGACTATCTTTTACTTCGCCAACATATGGGATGTGAGGCCTTTGAGGGGATGTGTTGTTTTAACCTCTCAGATCAATCCCCCGTCATAAATAAACAAATCAAAGTACTCCATAAAATGGCCTCAGAGCTGCAAATAGATTCCCTGGGAGATTGGTGGAGTAACTTATGGTCTTGGCTCCCAATAGGCCTTATTGGAAACATCATAAGAGCAGTAATCATTTTTATTGCTATTCTGATCAGTAGCTGTTGTCTTCTGCAATGTACCTTTTCAATGATGCACAACATAACACTACCTAAACAAGTATCCCTGCTTGCAGAAAGAAAAGCTACAGCTCAGGTGATGGCTATGTGGGAATTCCAGAGACAAGAATATAACAACATACATACATCAGACCCAAGTGTTACGGAATGAAACTTATCTGCATGGATGAGATAAGTCTCATCAGGGGGGAATAAAGTGGTACCTGGAAAAATACAGATGGCCCGACAAAGAATGTATGTGAAAGGGAGGTTTGTTTTGCTTACCAGACAGCTCTTAAATTTAGAAGGGCCAGACATCCTGTTCTCAGCTCTGCACATGATATATTACTAACTGCTTGTCACATGGTGTATCTAAATTGCTTAACACTTGATATATTACTGATTGCTAAAAGCATTCCAATGTAAAAGAGGAACTATCGATTATAGATCTGTCTAGTAGTTTTCCTATGTTAGAATAAGGACCTATAGAATGTAACCATGTGTGGGATGTAACCTACTCAGGAAATAACCCTGCCTGAAGGGTTATAAAAATGGTCACCAATGCACAGTCTGTTGTTCAGATTTCTTTAGCCACGATGGCTCTCTGAACCTGCGCAATAAACTTCCCTTTCCTTGAAAGAGCTGACTCAAGTCTTTCATTTTCTACAACATAGGGACTCCTGCTTGGGCATGAGGTTGGACTAGATGACCTCCAAGGTCCCTTTCAACTCTGTTATTCTATTCTATTCTATTCTACTCTATTCTATTCTTCTTATCATTACTCTAATTCTATTCTCTTCTATACTATAGACAAACCAACCAAATAGAGGAAATAGATGAACTTTTTGCTAGTCAGTTAACTAAGGTATGTAGGAAGCACATCACAACAGTAATGGGGGACTTTAATTACCCTGACATGAACTGGGAGATAAACTCTGCACCCAAACAGATTCCTGACTAACCTAACAGACAATTTTCTCTCCCCAAAAGAAGAGAAGGGAACCAATGGATCAGCCATACTGGATTTAATTCTCGCTAACAGAGCTGATGTGATAGAAGTGGTTGAAGACATAGGAACCTGGGGGGGGAGTGATCATGCAGTATTGGAATTCAACATCATGCAAGCACAAGCAATAGAACACAGTCAAACTAGAGTCTTTGACTTTTAAGAGAGCTGACTTCAATAAACTTAGAGAGAGCTTGGGAAGGATTCCATGGATGAGAATTCTCAAGGTAAAAACAACCCAAGAAGGTTCGGAAACTTTGAAAAGTGACATTCTAAAAGCCCAGCCTAGCACAATACCAGCAAAGAAGAAAAATAACAGCTCTCAAAAGAAACCAGCCTGGTTGCATAAAGAAGTGTCTGATAATGAAGCAGTGAATTTGCCAACAGCTAGAGCAGTGGTTCTCAACCTGTGGGTTGGGACCCCATTTGGGGTCAAACGACCATTTCATGGGGGTCGCCAAACCATGCTGTCCGCCATTTTTTTCCCTTTTCCCTAGCTGTCCTACTCCCTCTTATAGGTGGCCACACCCACTTGGGGGTCACCACAACATGGGGAACTGTATTATGGGGTCACGGCATTAGAAAGGTTGAGAACCACTGTTGTTGTTGTTAATTGCGAAGTCGTGTCTGACCCATCGCGACCCCATGGACAACGTTCCTCCAGGTCTTCCTGTCCTCTACCATCTTCTGGAGTCCATTTAAATTCACACCTACTGCTTCAGTGACTCCATCCAGCCATCTCATTCTCTGTCGTCCCCTTCTTCTATTGCCCTCAATCTTTCCCAGCATTAGGCTCTTCTCCAGTGAGTCCTTCCTTCTCATTAGGTGGCCAAAGTACTTGAGTTTCAACTTCAGGATCTGGCCTTCTAAAGAGCAGTCGGGGTTGATCTCTTCTAGGACTGACCGGTTTGAACGCCTTGCAGTCCAAGGGACTCGCAGGAGTCTTCTCCAGCACCATAGTTCAAAGGCCTCAATTCTTTTGCGCTCAGCCTTTCTTATGGTCCAACTTTCACAGCCATACATTGCAACTGGGAAAACCATGGCCTGGACTATACGCACTTTTGTTGGCAGGGTGATGTCTCTGCTTTTTAGAATGCTGTCTAGATTTGCCATAGCTTTCCTCCCCAGGAGCAAGCGTCTTTTAATTTCTTGGCTGCAGTCCCCATCTGAGGTGATCTTGGAGCCCAGAAAAATAAAATCTGTCACTACCTCCATTTCTTCCCCATCTATTTGCCAGGAATTGAGAGGGCCGGATGCCATGATTTTGGTTTTCTTAATGTTGAGTTTCAAGCCAACTTTTGCACTCTCCTTCTTCACCCGCATCAAGAGGCTCTTTAGTTCCTCTTCACTTTCTGCCATTAGAGTGGTATCATCTGCATATCTTAGGTTGTTGATATTTCTCCCGGCAATCTTAATTCCAACTTTTGATTCATCTAGCCCTGCCTTTCTCATGATGTGCTCTGCATATAAGTTAAATAGGCAGGGCGACAGTATACAGCCTTGCCGGACTCCTTTTCCAATTTTGAACCAATCAGTGGTTCCGTGTTCGGTTCTCACTGTTGCTTCTTGACCCGCATATAGGTTTCTCAGAGACAAATGAGATGGTCTGGTACTCCCATCTCTTTAAGAACTTGCCACAATTTGTTGTGATCCACACAATCAAAGGCTTTTGCATAGTCAATGAAGCAGAAGTAGATGTTTTTCTGGAACTCCCTAGCTTTCTCCATGATCCAGCGTATGTTGGCAATTTGATCTCTAGTTCCTCTGCCTCTTCGAAATCCTGCCTGTACTTCTGGTAGTTCTCGATCCACATACTGCTGGAGTCTAGCTTGTAGGATTTTAAGCATAACTTTACTAGCATGTGAAATGAGTGCAATGGTGCGATAGTTTGAACATTCTTTGGCATTGCCTTTCTTTGGAATTGGAATGTAAACTGACCTTTTCCAATCCTGTGGCCACTGTTGAGTTTTCCAAATTTGCTGGCAAATTGAATGTAGCACTTTTACTGCATCATCTTTTAAGATTTTGAATAGCTCAGCTGGAATACTGTCACCTCCACTAGCTTCGTTGTTGCTCAGATTTTCCAAGGCCCATTTCACTTCACATTCTAGGATGTCTGGTTCGAGGTCAATGACCATCTCATTGTGGTTATCTGGGATGTTAAGCTCATTCTTGTATAGTTCTTCTGTGTAGTTTTGCCATCTCTTCTTAATCTCTTCTGCCTCTGTTAGGTCTCTGCCATTTTGGTCCTTTATCATGCCCATCTTTGCATGAAACGTTCCCTTCATATCTCCAATTTTCTTGAAGAGATCTCTGGTCCTCCCTATTCTGTTGTTTTCTTCTATTTCTTTGCACTGTTCATTTAAGAAGGCATTCTTATCTCTTCTAGCTACTCTCTGGAATTCTGCATTCAATTGGGTGTATCTTTCTCTTTCTCCTTTGCCTTTCGCTTCCCTTCTTTCCTCAGCTATTTGCAAAGCTTCCTCAGACAGCCATTTTGCTTTCTTGCATTTCTTTTTCTTTGGGATGGTTTTAGTTGCTACCTCTTGTACAATGTTGCGAACTTCCATCCATAGTTCTTCAGGCACTCTGTCTATCAGATCCAGTTCCTTAAATCTATTTGTCACCTCTACTGTATATTCATCAGGAATATGATTTAGTTCATACCTGAGTGGCCTAGTGCTTTTCCCTACTTTTTTCAATTTAAGCCTAAATTTTGCAACGAGAAGCTCATGATCTGAGCCACAGTCAGCTCCTGGTCTTGTTTTTACTGACTGTATAGCGCTTCTCCATCTTTGGAGAACCACTGAGCTAGAGGCAAACAAAGTCATAACCAAAAGTCAACATGGGTTTGTCGAAACCAGATCATGCCAGACAAAACCTGTTGCTAGAAGACCTCCAAGGTCCCACCCAACTCCTGTTCCCTTCTGTTTTTCTACTCTAGCCCCCTGCTCAGAGAGGAGACCCTATACCTATTCCAGACAAAGGGCTGTCCAGTCTCCTCTTAAAAACCTCTAGGGATGGAGCATCCACAACTTCTGGACGGAAGCCCTTCCACTGGTTAAGTGTTCTCACTAGCAGGAAATGCCTCCTTTGATCTGAGGATCGATCCTTCCTCCCTCCCCTCTTTCATTCCTCCCTCCCTCCCTTCGTAGCCCAAGAGGGGAAGAGGGGAGGGCGAGAGATTGGCAGCGCTGCCCATGGCCGTAGCTTTCCCACGCCGGGAGGAGCGGGAGGTGGGAGGTGGGCCGAGGACGGGGAAAAACGAAGCGCTCCCGGGCTGCGGGGAAAGGTAGCGGGGCCAGGCGGGCGAGCGGGCCATGGAGGCGCTGGCGATGCTGGCGGTGGGCGCGGCGCTCCTGCTGGGGCTCTGCGCGCTGCTCTACTACCACTTCGCGGCGGCCACGCGGTGCCGGAACGCGGTCAGCCTGCGGGGCAAGACGGTTCTCATCACAGGTAGCTCCGGGGGCCGCTGCGCTCCCATCCGTGTGGGGGGGGCGTGGAGGCGGGGGCGGGGGGCGTGGCCTTTCTTTCTTGTTAAACAACCCCCCCACCCCCACCTCGGGGGCTCCAGGCGGGATCCAACGCCCGGAATCAAGTCGCCGCTCGAAGGTCCAAGCGAAATGCGGGTCGCGGGTTCATCATAACCCAGGTTCTCCCCCATCCAGGTGGACCCAAAGGGGCCTTGGACCAAACCGGGAAAGTCCATCCCCAAAAGCTCCTTGGGAATAAAGCGGGGAAGGCTCCGCAGAGACCCGCCTGGGACCCCTGCCCGGGGAGGGGGGAGGCGGGGCGGGAGAGCGGGGGAGAAAGTGCCCCCTCGTTGGGCTGCCGGAGACCCGTGTCTGGCCCAGTCAGAAGCACCGACGGAAGAGCAGCGCTGAAGAAGCTCCCTGGGTGAGAAGCGAAAGATCCTCATCCATTCCAGACAAACGGCCGTCCAATCTCTTCTTAAAAACTTCCCCTGCTGGAGCAACCACAATTTCTGGAAACAAGCCCTTCCACACAGGAATTGTTCTCATTGTCAGACAAAACCTATTGCTAGAAGACCTCCAAGGTCCCATCCAACTCTGTTAGTCTGTTCCCTTCTGTTTTTTTCTACTCCAGCCCCTTGCTCAGAGAGGAGACCCTACACCCATTCCAGACAAAGGGCTGTCCAGTCTCCTCTTAAAAACCTCCAGGGATGGAGCACCCACAACTTCTGGAGGGAAGCCCTTCCATTGGTTAAGTGTTCTCACTAGCAGGAAATGCCTCCTTAGATCTCCTTCCTTCCTTCCTCCCTCCCTCCCTCCCTCCCTCCTTCTTCCTTCCTTCCTCCCTCCTTCCTTCTTTCCTTCCTTCCCTCCCTCCTTTCTCAGGCTGTCCTTCACATTTCCACCTCCTCCCTCCCTCCTTCTCATGCAACCTCTTATACATGTGGAAAGGAGCGGGAGGTGGGAGGAGGGTTGCAGTAGGTTGCACAAGGGGATCATGTGACCCCGGGACACTGCGACCGTCATAAATATGAGTCAGTTGCCAAGCATCTGAATTTTTATCACGGACCACCACGCTGCAATGTTCATAAGTGTGAAAAACAGTCATAAGTCACTTTTTTCTGTGCCACTGTAACTTCGGTCATTAAATGAATCATTGTAAGTCGAGGACTATCTGTAGTATTTCCAGAGTCCGCAGGAATAGGTACGTTTTAACTCAAAAGTATTTTACAGTCTTCCGATTGGCTTTTTTTATGCCCTGCTAAGTAACTCTATTTGTCCCCAGATCAGAGTGAGAAAAGATGATTATCATCCATGCATTAATACATGTTTGGCCTTCAAATTATTTTGTAACGTATTAGTAAAGTGACAGCCTGCAGAGCAAATGTTGGGAGACCTGCGCCATCTTCTGGTCTGACAGAAACATTGCATCCCATTTTTTGAAATGACTTTCATTTTTTAATTTTTTATTACTAAACTTATTTGCCACCCATCTCACTACAAAGGGGCCCTTTCAAAGACCTAAAGGGACTCCAGGGATCTCAGTCAGGAATGCGGAACTGTACTTCAACCATCCCATGGATTGCTGTATGGCGGAATTGGGTAAAAACCACACAACAGGAAAAAATCAGTGTTCGATTTTCATATGTTTGAAATAATAACAACAACAATAATAACAATAACTACTACTACTACTACTACTACTACTACTACTACTACTACTACTACTAGAGAGACCAAACTGGCCTACAAGAAAGACCAAATGAAAAACAGAATAGAGGCATGGGAAGACAAAGCACTACATGGCCAATACATGAAAAAAATAGCTGGGAAAGCAGATAATAACAAGACCTGGTAATGGCTAAGAGCAGGAAAATTGAAGAAAGAGACCGAGGGACTAATTCTGGCTACACAAGACCAAGCCTTAAGGACAAATGCATATGAAGTCAAAATTGAGAAGACAGCAACAGACAATAAGTGCCGCCTATCCAAAGAAGCTGAAGAAACAGTGGACCACCTGGTAAGCTGCTGCAAGAAGATCACACAGACTGACTACAAGCAGCGGCTTGACAAAGTAGCAACAATGGTACATTGGAAGATCTGCAAAAAATATCATTTGCCTGTAAGCAAGAACTGGTGGGATCATAAAATAGAGAAAGTCATAGAAAATGATAAAATTAAACTGCTCTGGGACTTCAGAATTCAAACAGACAAGCACCTGCAACATAACACCCCAGACTTAACAATTGTCGATAAGAAAGACAAAAAAGTCTGGATAGTGGACGTGGCAGTGCCTGGAGATAGCAGAATAGAAGAGAAAGAACTGGAGAAGATAACAAAATACAAAGACCTACAAATAGAAATAGAAAGACTGTGGCAAAAGCAAGCAAGGGTAGTACCAATAGTCATAGGCTCCTTGGGTGCAATCCCAAAACAACTGGAGCACCACTTGAACACCATTGGCATTGACAAATTCGCTATTAGTCAATTGCAAAAGGCGGCCTTACTAGGAACTGCTTCCATCCTGCGATGATACCTGTAATACCATCAAACATCCACATCTGCCTATCCCAGGTCCTGGGTAAGGACTCGATAGGTAGACAAAATGCCAAATCCAGTCTGAACATCTGGCTGACTGTGCGATGATCCAAAATAATAATAATAATAATAAAGTTGGAAGGAACTTTGGAGGTCATCTAGTCCAACCCCCTGCTCAGGCAGGAAACCCTACACCATTTCGGACAAATGGCTGTCCAGTCTCTTCTTAAAAACTTCCAGTGTTGGAGCATTTACTGCTTCTGGAGGCAAGCTGTTCCACTGATTAATTGTTCTCACTGTCAGGAAGTTTCTCCGTAGTTCTAGGTTGTTTTTCTCCTTGATTAGTTTCCATCCGTTGCTTCTTGTCCTGACTTCAGGTGCTTTGGAAAATAGCTTGACTCCCTCTTCTTTGTGGCAGCCCCTGAGATATTGGAACATTACTATCCTGTCCCCCCTCATCCTTCTCTTCATTAAACTGGACATACCCAATTCCTGCAACTGTTCCTTATATGTTTTAGCTTCAGTCCCCTAATCATTTTTATTGCTCTTCTCTGTACTCTTTCTCAAGTCTCAACATCTTTTTTACATCGTGGTGACCAAAACTGGATGCAGTATTCCAAATGTGGCCTTACCAAGACCTTGTAAATTGGTATTAATACTTCATGTGATCTTGATTCTATCCCTCTGTTAATGCAGCCTAGCACTGTGTTGGCTTTTTTGGCAGCTGCAGCACACGGCTGGCTCATATTTAAGTGATTGTCCACTACTGTTAAGTAAGGTACCCCCTATACTATACCTACAGATTTGGTTTTTCTTGCCTAAATGTAGAACCTTACTTTTTTCACCATTGAATTTCATTTTGTTAGATAGCGCCCAGTATTCAAGTCTGTCCAGATCCTCCTGTATCCTAAGACTGTCTTCTGGAGTGTTAGCCATTCCTGCCAGCTTGGTGTCGTCTGCAAATTTGATGATTTCCCCATCTATCCCCTCGTCCAAATTGTTGATGAAGATGTTGAAGAGCACTGGGCCCAGAACAGAGCCTTGGGCCACCCCACTACACACTTCCCTCCATGTAGATGTGGTTCCATTGGGGACCACATGCTGAGTACGGCCCGTCAGCCAGCTAAGAATCCATCTGGTGATAATGCTGTCTAACCCACATTTTTCTATCTTGTCAAGTAGTAGGTTGTGATCTACTTTGTCAAATGCCTTACTGAAGTCCAAGTAAATTATATCCACGGCATTCCTCTGATCCACTAATTTTGTCACTTGGTCAAAGAATGCAGTAAGATTTATCTGGCATGATCTGTTTTTGACACGCCCGTGTTGGCTTTTAGTAATGACTTTGTTTGCCTCTAGGTGTTCGCTGATTCGTTGATTGATTATCTTTTCCAGAATCTTCCCAGATATTGAGGTCAGGCTGATAGGTCTGTAATTTCCTGGATCTATTTTTTTTTTCCTTTTTTGAAGATGGGAACTACATCAGTTCTTTTCCAGTCCTCTGGTAGTTTCCCAGTTCTGCAGGATCTTTGAAAAATATAGTTCAGTGGTTCTGAGATCACATCTGCCAGTTCCTTAAGAATCTTGGGGTGTAATCCATCTGGTCCTGGTGATTTGAACTCGTCTAGGCTGGACAGGGGCTCACTTACCATTTTCTTGCCTATCTTAATTTGTGTTTCTATTCTGTTTTTTATGGCACTATTTTTGATAGGCTGGTCTGTTTTTTTCCCTTTGTGTAAAGACAGATGCAAAAAATGAGTTAAATAGTTCTGCTTTCTCCCTGTTGTTTGTCACCTTCTTGCCACTTTCCCCCACTAATGGACCAATCATTTCCTTCACTTTTTTCTTGTTTTTTACATGTTGAAAGAAGCTGTTCTTGTTATTTTTGACTTTGGTTGCAAGCCTTAGTTCATTTTGAGCCTTAGCTTTCCTCACTTCATCTTTGGATGCTCGGGCTATTTGCTGATATTCTGCCTTAGTTATGTTCCCCTCTTTCCACCTTCTATACTTATCCTTTTTATCTTTCAATTTATCAGAGAGGTCTTTATGCAGCCATGCTGGTTTCTTTTGAGAGCTGTTATCTTTCTTCTTTGTTGGTATTGTGCTAGATTGGGCTTTTATTATCTCACTTTTCAAAATTTCCCAAGCTTCTTGAGTTGTTTTCCTCTTGAGGATTCTCATCCATGGAATACTTCCCAAGTCCTCTCTAACTTTATTGAAATTAGCTCTCTTAAAGTCCAAGAATCTCATGTGACTGTGTTGTATTGCTTGTGCTTCCATAATGTTGAATTCCAATATTGCATGATCACTTCCTCCTAAGGTTCATGTGGCTTCAACACTTTCTATCATTTTGTCTCTGTTAGTGAGAATTAGATCCAAAATGGCTAATCCCCTATTTCCCTTCTCTACTTTTTGGGAGACAAAGTTGTCTGCTAGGTTTATCAGGAATCTGTTTGATCTTCCACTTGGTGCAGAGTTTGTCTCCCAGTTGATGTCAGGGAAGTTAAAGTCCCCCATTACTATTGTGATGTGCTTCCTACATACTTAGTTAGCTGACTAGCAAAAAGTTCATCTATTTCCTCTGTTTGGTTGGGTGGCCTGTAGTATACACCTATGGCAATGTCATTTCCCCCCCCCCCCTTTTATATTGACCCAAATGCATTCAAGACAGTTTTTATCATTGTTGTGCTCTATTTCTGTAGAGATGTAGTTATTTCTTATAGAGAGAGCAACTCCACCTCCTCTTTTATTTGGTCTGTTTCTTTTAAATAATTTAAATCTCTCTAGCTGTGTGTTCCATTTGTAGGTTTCATCCCACCATGTTTCCATTATGGCAACAATATCATATCTGCCCTCATTAACCTGAATTTCTAGTTCACCCTGTTTGCTTTTCATACTCTGTGCATTGGTGTATAGACATTTGAGTCCTTTACGACTGACTCTGTGTTTACTTTGTACATAACCTGTGTGGTGCCTGAGTTCCCCTCTTTTCTTACCACCTATTTGGTTAGTGCACTTTGTGTGGCACACGCTATTAAAAGCTTGATTTTGCTTGACAGTAAGGTTGATATTATTGTCCACACACACATCTATGTTACATGCACTGATAGCCCTATAATTTTAGATTGCCGGGGACAGGAATGTTCTGTATCAATTAACTCACTGTCTCCGCTGTTTAGTTTAAATATTGCTCCAGAAAATCTGTGAATTTATTGCCAAGTAATAATAATAATAATAATAAAGTTGGAAGGGACCTTGGAGGTCATCTAGTCCAACCCTCTGCTCAGGCAGGAAACCCTATACCATTTCAGACAAAGGGCTGTCCAGTCTGTTCTTAAAAACTTCCAGTGTTGGAGCATTCACCGCTTCTGGAGGCAGGTGGTTCCACTGGTTAATTGTTCTAACTGTCAGGAAGTTTCTCCTTAGTTCTAGGTTGCTTCTCTCCTTGATGAGTTTCCATCCGTTGCTTCTTGTCCTGCCTTCAGGCGCTTTGGAAAATAGCTTGACTCCCTCTTCTTTGTGGCAGCCCCTGAGATATTGGAACATTACTATCCTGTCCCCCCTCATCCTTCTCTTCATTAAACTGGACATACCCAAATCCTGCAACTGTTCCTTATATGTTTTAGCTCCAGTCCCCTAATCATTTTTGTTGCTCTTCTCTGTACTCTTTCTAGAGTCTCAACATCGTTTTTACATCGTGGTGACCAAAACTGGATGCAGTATTCCAAATGTGGCCTTACCAAGGCATTGTAAAGTGGTATTAATACTTCACGTGATCTTGATTCTATCCCTCTGTTAATGCAGCCTAGCACTGTGTTGGCCTTTTTTGGCAGCTGCAGCACACGGCTGGCTCCTATTTAAGTGATTGTCCACCAGGACTCCGAGATTCCTCTCACAGTTACTACTGTTGAGTAAGGTACCCCTATACTATACCTACAGATTTGGTTTTTCTTGCCTAAATGTAGAACCTTACTTTTTTCACCATTGAATTTCATTTTGTTAGATAGCGCCCAGTGTTCAAGTCTGTCCAGATCCTCCTGTATCCTAAGACTGTCTTCTGGAGTGTTGGCCATTCCTGCCAGCTTGGTGTCATCTGCAAATTTGATGATTTCCCCATCTATCCCCTTGTCCAAATTGTTGATGAAGATGTTGAAGAGCACTGGGCCCAGAACAGAGCCCTGGGGCACCCCACTACACACTTCCCTCCATGGAGATGTGGTTCCATTGGGGACCACATGCTGAGTACGGCCCGTCAGCCAGCTAAGAATCCATCTGGTGATAATGCTGTCTAACCCACATTTTTCTATCTTGTCAAGTAGTAGGTTGTGATCTATTTTGTCAAATGCCTTACTGAAGTCCAAGTAAATTATATCCACGGCATTCCTCTGATCCACTAATTTTGTCACTTGGTCAAAGAATGCAGTAAGATTTGTCTGGCATGATCTGTTTTTGACACGCCCGTGTTGGCTTTTAGTAATGACTTTGTTTGCCTCTAGGTGTTCGCTGATTCGTTGATTGATTATCTTTTCCAGAATCTTCCCAGATATTGAGGTCAGGCTGATAGGTCTGTAATTTCCTGGATCTATTTTTTTTTTCCTTTTTTGAAGATGGGAACTACATCAGTTCTTTTCCAGTCCTCTGGTAGTTTCCCAGTTCTGCAGGATCTTTGAAAAATATAGTTCAGTGGTTCTGAGATCACATCTGCCAGTTCCTTAAGAATCTTGGGGTGTAATCCATCTGGTCCTGGTGATTTGAACTCGTCTAGGCTGGACAGGGGCTCACTTACCATTTTCTTGCCTATCTTAATTTGTGTTTCTATTCTGTTTTTTATGGCACTATTTTTGATAGGCTGGTCTGTTTTTTTCCCTTTGTGTAAAGACAGATGCAAAAAATGAGTTAAATAGTTCTGCTTTCTCCCTGTTGTTTGTAACCTTCTTGCCACTTTCCCCCACTAATGGACCAATCATTTCCTTCACTTTTTTCTTGTTTTTTACATGTTGAAAGAAGCTGTTCTTGTTATTTTTGACTTTGGTTGCAAGCCTTAGTTCATTTTGAGCCTTAGCTTTCCTCACTTCATCTTTGGACGCTCGGGCTATTTGCTGATATTCTGCCTTAGTTATGTTCCCCTCTTTCCACTTTCTATACTTATCCTTTTTATCTTTCAATTTATCAGAGAGGTCTTTATGCAGCCATGCTGGTTTCTTTTGAGAGCTGTTATCTTTCTTCTTTGTTGGTATTGTGCTAGATTGGGCTTTTATTATCTCACTTTTCAAAATTTCCCAAGCTTCTTGAGTTGTTTTCCTCTTGAGGATTCTCATCCATGGAATACTTCCCAAGTCCTCTCTAACTTTATTGAAATTAGCTCTCTTAAAGTCCAAGAGTCTGATTTGACTGTGTTGTATTGCTTGTGCTTCCATAATGTTGAATTCCAATATTGCATGATCACTTCCTCCCAAGGTTCATGTGGTTTCAACACCTTCTATCATTTCGTCTCTGTTAGTGAGAATTAGATCCAAAATGGCTAATCCCCTATTTCCCTTCTCTACTTTTTGGGAGACAAAGTTGTCTGCTAGGTTTATCAGGAATCTGTTTGATCTTCCACTTGGTGCAGAGTTTGTCTCCCAGTTGATGTCAGGGAAGTTAAAGTCCCCCATTACTATTGTGATGTGCTTCCTACATACTTAGTTAGCTGACTAGCAAAAAGTTCATCTATTTCCTCTGTTTGGTTGGGTGGCCTGTCCCTTTCTCAGTCGCTTTCTTTGATGGATGTAAACCATCTCTTTTGTACATTTTTTCATTGGACCAGCTACAGATATCGTGACTAATATAACCAAAGCCTTCCCCTTTACACCACTCCTTTAGCCACATATTGAATTCTGCTATATGCTGGCCTTTTCCATTTTGCTCCTTATATACTGATAAAACCTCTGAAAAAGTAAGCCTACAGCCTATTCTGCTAAGCTCCTGCCCCAAGCTCTGGAAATCATTCTGCACAGAGAGTACATCTTTTTGGGACAGAATCTCAGACGCACTTGCCCTGAATGTACCGCTGCTTTTTTTTATTTTTAGTTTTTAGTTTAAACTGCTCTGGGCAGTCTAAATGCAGTTTAAATGCAATGGTCCAATCAGCAAGGCCTCCACTACTTTTCTGCTCCACCCTCCTTCTTTTTAACTTATAGTTTGTAGCTGTATTATTAGAACCCTGTAAAAAAATTTCAGTGCTGTTGTACCGTCAAACGATCACTAAAATAATGGTTGTAAGTCGAGGACTATTCATATTACCCCTGAATAATTTTAAGCTATTCTTTTTTGTTGATGTAAGACTGCTCTGAAAGAGTTGTGAAAATAATGCCCTGAGCCAGGGTTTCTCAACTTGGGCAACTTCAAAATGTTGCTTGCTTTTAATTCTGGGAGTTGAAGTCCACCCATTTTAAAGTTGCCAAGGTAGAGAAACACTGACACACAAATGTTTCACTGCGTGACTCCACAAAAACTGAAGACACACAAATGCAGGCCCGGTTCCTGGGTCCCCATCAAAGGCTGGGCAATCTCAGTGAATCCTTTCTCTGACCTTTCCTAGGTGCAAATACAGGGATCGGGAAGGCCACAGCGATGGATCTGGCCCGGAGAGGCGCCCGTGTCATTCTGGCATGCCGCAACAAAGCAAGAGGAGAAACGGCTGTGCGTGACATCAGACAGGTAAGCGCCTGCCGTGCGGTTCTCTCCTTCCCTCCATTCTTCTGCATCCAGGTCTTTTCCTAATGGATTTTATTCATTTATTTAGCGTATGACATCTACAGAGGTCATGCAATTCCTTATATGCAATGCAGGTAAAATGCACTATATAGGCAGATGCAAATGTAAGTTTAAAGTATGAACAAATATGTGTATATCAAGTAAGTGGTCAGTACAATAAATATAAAATATGAAGTTAGGGTAAAACCATGATAAAATCGCCATAATGTAGCGCTATAGAGTCACAATGGGAGAGATGTTATACAGGTAGTCCTTGATTTACAATAGTTAATTTAATGGCTGTTCAAAGTTTGAAGGCACTTATGACCATTTTTCACACTTAACGCCGTTGCAGCATGGTCACGTGATCAAAATTCGGATGCTTGGCAACCGACTCACATTTATGACGGTCGCAGTGTCCCGGTGTCATGCAATCTCCTTTTTGAGACATTCTGACAAGAAAAAACAATGGGGAAGTCAAATTAGCAACCATATTACCAATTTAACAACTGCAGTGATTTATTTAACAACTGTGGAAATTAAGGTCATAAAATAAGTAAAATTCACTCAACAACTGTGTTACTTACCAACAGAAATGTTGGACTCAATTGCAGTCATACGTCAAGGACTACCTGTATATTTAATAAGTGGACAATACAATAGAAAAGATAAAATATTAGGCTAGGGTAAAACCATGATAAAATCACCATAATATAACGCCATAGAATGGGAGGTTATAATTCGATCTATAAGGAAGCTAACCTTTTATCCTGTGTTCTTTCTGAATGATGACAAAGATAAACACACACACACACACACACACACACAAACTTATTTACAGCAGTCTTTGTCATCATCCAGAATATCTGTGATATTCCTGTGTTCCTGACTATCTTGTGTTCTTTTTCTCTGAATGATGACAAAGACTGCTGAAAATAGATATATTTACAGGAACAGAGGAATATCCTGAGGTAAATTAAACTTCATCTGGACAGCTGCTGCACAATTCCTTGACAGGAACAAACAATAACACATATAGGCCAAGAAAGTCTCCTTAGGAAATTTCAAGCCTCACCAGAAGCAGTTAAAGGGTTTGTGCTTCCTTAGATATCGAATTATAACATCCCACTGCGACTCTATGGCACCATATTATGGTGATTTTATTATGGTTTTACCCTAACTTAATATTTTATCTTATATAAATAACTCTAACTCTAACTTTAAAAATTATAAATATAAATATAAACATAGCTGTCAGGAACACAGGAATATCGTGAGGTAAATCTTAACAGCACACAGAGGACACAGAAGAAAAAGGCGGGAAAGAAGGGAAACACCCCCTCCGCACCCATGGCAGCCAATCTCTTCATTAAACTAGACCAGTGTTTCCCAAACTTGACACTTTTAAGGCATGAGGACTTCAACTCCCAGAATTCCACAGCCAGCAATGCTGGCTGCGGAATTCTGGGAGTTGAAGTCCACATGCCTTAAAATTGTCAAGTTTGGGAAACACTGAACTAGACAGACCCAATTCCAGGAACGGCTGCTGGAATTGGGAATGTTTAGTTTAATGAAGGGAAGGACGAGGGGGGACAGGATAGCATCCTTCCAGTATCTTAGGGGCTGCCCCAAAGAAGAGGCAGTCAAGCTGTTCTCTAAAGCACCTGAAGGCAGGACAAGAAGCAACGGATGGAAACTCATCAAGGAGAGAAGCAACCTGGAACTAAGCAGAAACTTCCTGACAGTGAGAGCAATTAACCAGTGGAACAACCTGCCTCCAGAAGCAGTAAATGCTCCAACACTGGAAGGTTTTTAAGAAGAGACTGGACAGCCATTTGTCTGAAATGGTGTAGGGTTACCTGCCTGAGTAGGGGGTTGGACCTGATGACCTCCAAGGTCCCTTCCAACTTTTTATTATTATTATTATCGATCATCGCACAGTCAGCCAGATGTTCAGACTGGATTTGGCATTTTGTCTAGCTATCGAGTCCTTACCCAGGACCTGGGATAGGCAGATGTGGATGTTTGATGGTATTACAGATATTGTCGCAGGATGGAAGCAGTTCCTAATAAGGCCGCCTTTTGCAATTGACTAATAGCAAATTTGTCAATGCCAATGGTGTTCAAGTGGTGCTCCAGTTGTTTTGGGATTGCACCCAAGGAGCCTATGACTATTGGTACTACCCTTGCTTGCTTTTGCCACAGTCTTTCTATTTCTATTTGTAGGTCTTTGTATTTTGTTATCTTCTCCAGTTCTTTCTCTTCTATTCTGCTATCTCCAGGCACTGCCACATCCACTATCCAGACTTTTTTGTCTTTCTTATCGACAATTGTTAAGTCTGGGGTGTTATGTTGCAGGTGCTTGTCTGTTTGAATTCTGAAGTCCCAGAGCAGTTTAATTTTATCATTTTCAATGACTTTCTCTATTTTATGATCCCACCGGTTTTTGCTTACAGGCAAATGATATTTTTTGCAGATCTTCCAATGCACCATTGTTGCTACTTTGTCATGCCGCTGCTTGTAATCAGTTTGTGCAATCTTCTTGCAACAGCTTACCAAGTGGTCCACTGTTTCTTCAGCTTCTTTGCATAGGCGGCACTTACTGTCTGTTGCTGTCTTCTCAATTTTGACTTTGTATGCATTTGTCCTTAAGGCTTGGTCTTGTGCAGCTCAGAATTAGTCCCTCTGTCTCTTTCTTCAATTTTCCTGCTCTTAGCCATTGCCAGGTTTTATTATTATCTGCTTTCCCAGCTATTTTTTTCATGTATTGGCCATGTAGTGCTTTGTCTTCCCATGCCTCTATTCTGTTCTTCATTTGGTCTTTCTTGTAGGCCAGTTTGGTCTCTCCAGTAGTTAGTAAGCCTTCCTGATATACTAATTTCAGTGCATCTTCATCATTGTTCTTCAGATATTCTTCCAAAGCCATTTTTTCTTCTTCAACCATCTGATGTACTTGTAGCATTCCACGCCCACCTATTTGCCTTGGTAGATAAAGTCTATCAATGTCACTGCGTGGATGAAGGGCATGATTCATTGTCATTATTTTTCTGGTCTGCCTATCCATTGCTTTTAGTTCTGCTTGAGTCCAGTCCACTATTCCAGCTGTGTACCTAATGACTGGGATTGCCCAGGTGTTGATTGCCTTTATGGTATTTCCTCCATTGAGTTTGGATTTTAAGATCTTCTTCACTCTCTTGATGTATTCATCTCTAATCTTTTTCTTGACTTCAGTGTGCTTGATGTTGTCAGCTTGAAGGATACCCAAGTATTTGTAGTACTCTTCCTCATCCAGACTCTTAATGTTATTTTCGTGGGGCATCTTGATTCCTTCAGTTTTCATTATTTTTCCTTGTTTGATAGTAAGTGTGGCACATTTGTCCAAGCCAAACTCCATTACAATATCTTGGCTATATATACGGACAGTGTTGAGCAGCGATTCTATTTCAGATGATGTTTTTCCATACAGCTTCAGATCATCCATATAAAGGAGGTGGGATAGTCTGGCAGATGTTTTTGATGTTTGATAGCCATGTCCTGAGTTATTCAGTATTGTTGACAGAGGAAACAGTGCAATAACAAATAGTAATGGTGATAATGAATCTCCTTGAAATATTCCTCTCTTGATATTAACCTCTCCCAGCTCTCACCATTGATCTGCAACTGTGTCTTCCATTGTGCCATCGATCTTTGCACAAATTTTCTGATGTTTCTACTGACTCCTGTTATTTCTAGGCACTTTATTATCCAATCATGTGGCAGAGAGTCAAATGCCTTTTTGTAGTCAATCCATGCCACATTCAGGTTGGTCTTCCTTCTCTTGCAGTTTTCCAAGATCATTTTGTCTATTAGGAGTTGATCTTTTGTTCCTCTGCTATTGGGGCGGTTTCCTTTCTGCTCAGGTGGAAAGAGATTGTTTTCAACTAGATGCTGTTGCACTGCATCAGCTACTACACCAGTTAGTAATTTGAAAGTTGTTGGTAAGCAGGTAATTGGCCTGTAGTTACCTGGTGTTGCCCCTTTTGCTGGATTTTTCATTATTAGGTAGGTTTTCCCAGTTGTTAGCCACTTTTCAATTTCTCCTCCTTGTAGTATATTGTTGAACTGCTTGGCAATGAGTGGGTGTATAACAGTTAGATGTTTCAACCAAAACCCATGCAATTCATCTTCACCTGGTGCTGACCAATTTTTGATTTTCTTTGCTCTTTTTTCTACCATTTTTGTTGTTATTACTAGTTCTTTCATTTCAACTTCTGTTTTATTTGCATCTACCTCTTTTAACCAAGCCGCATCCTTGTTGTATTTCTTTGGGTTATCCCATATCTGCTTCCAGAACTGCACTGTTTCTTCCTTGTCAGGTACTGACTGATTCCTTGCAGTTTCTCCATTGATGGATTGGTAGAAACGTTTCTGATTGGATTGAAATTGGAGGTTCTGCCTATAGTTTGCAATTCGAGCTTCATATCTACTGATTTTCCTGGCTATAGCTGTTATTTGTTGCTTTATTATTTCCAGTGCTTCCTTGATCTTCCTTGTTTCTAAGTGGTATTTCTTGATTAGGTATTCTTTGGTCTTCTTGTTCTTCAGCTTCTTTTCTTTCATCTGTTCTAGCTTGCTTGCATGTGATCTTAACTTGCTGATCTTATTTTCTAGTCTAACCTTCCATTTTTCTGGTGCACTGTTTGTTTGTTTTTCTTCTTTGTTGATTTTGCATCCCAGGTATTCTGTTATAACTGCAGCTGTGCTGTACATTAGTTGGTTTGTTTCTTGCAGTGAATTGGTGCTTATACTTGATATTGCAGTATTTGCATCTTTTAATGCTTGTGCTAGCTGTTTCTTTGGAACAAGCTTCAATGCAGGTAGCCTTATTCTGTTGTTTTTGTGCTGTTCTAGATGCTCAGTTATTCTTTGTTTCAATTCTTTTATTTCTTTAGTTAGAGGGTTTTGTTCTTCCTGAGGTAGAGGTGCCTGGTTTCCAAATGAGAACAGTTGTATATCTCTGCTAGATTCCTTCACTGCCAACTCCCCCTGGTTTGCCTCTACATTCTGAATTACTTCTGGTAAGGCTTTGATTTCTTTGCCCTGGGTAAACCTTTGCAGTTCGTCCAATTCTGTTTCTCTGAATACTTTATTTCGTGTTATAAATCGGCGTTGATCTGCTAGTCTCTGTTCTGTTATTTCTGATTCTGGATGTTGTTCTTTCCAGAACTGGTGCATTCGTTTTAGATATCCTCTTCTTGTTGGACTTGATCTGTAGTAACAGATCATTATTTCTTTGTTTTCCATCACTGTGTATCTGCGACGGGTAAACACCTTTTCTTCCAGTAGTTCTGCAGCTGCTGGCCCTGGTTGCTCAGCCAACAGTCCTGAGTCCTGTAACCCATTTTTCACCAGATATCCAGGAACTCCAATATCTAGTGCGGACCTTGTTAACCCGGGCGACGTCCGAGCCGGTATGGCATTCTGCAATTTATGTCTCACCATATTTTTTATGGGAGAGACACTCTTTGTCTGACTCCTCTGATGAGACCTGTCCAGTATGGTTGAACCTCTGGCATAGCTCTCATCTTCCTCAGAGTACACAAGCCCCACAACCACGTCAAGGTAGTGCCTCACTGGGGGTTTATTATTATTATTATTATTATTATTATTATTATTATAATTATTATTATTACTACTACTACTACTACTATTATCAGAGCATATATTGCCACGTGCAGGAGCCAGCACTCTCCAGCCAATCAGCTACACTGAATTTGAGATCCCAACACTTCTGATGCCCCCCCTCGTCACCCTGCAGACCCCGGCCATTCCCCACTTGAAGAGCTTTGTCTTCAATTCTGGCCTGTCCTGTCCGGGTTCTATCCAGGGGCTCCATATTTAGGGGGGCAGCTGCATTCCTGGAAGTGGCTTTGTTGGATCTATGTGATCCATTTGGTTCTGGTTATTAAAACTCCTCCATTTTAACTTCCCTTCTTCATTCCAGACCAGTGGTTCTCAACCTTTTTAATGCCGTGACCCCCCAACTGGTCGTATGTCGAGGACTACTCAACTGGTCGTAAGTCGAGGACTACTCAACCGGTCGTAAGTCGAGGACTACTCAACTGGTGCAGCACCATTTGCAGAATGGGACTTTTGGCGGGCTCAGCAGGGCAGAGACAGCTTGGACAATTCCTACTGGCTTTTGAAAGCCAATAGAATTAGACTCTATTCAAGAGAGTCTATTCTATTGGCTTTCAAAAGCCAATAGAATAAAAGGGAGGAGCACAGCTAAGGAAAAGGGGAAAAAAATGGCAGACTGCGTTGTTTGGTGACCCCCGTGAAATGGTCGTTAGATCCCAAATGGGGTCCCGACCCACAGTTGAGAACCACTGTTCTAGATCATAAGACTGTGGTATGTTATTACAGAAAAACAGACCTGGAAGGGACCTTGGAGTTCTTTTAGTCCAACCCCTGCCCAAGCAGGAGAACCCGAGCCATTTCACAACTTCTGGTGGCCAGCTGTTCCACTGGTTAATTGTTCTCACAGTCAGGAAGTTTCTCCTTAGTTCCAGGTTGCTTCTCTCCTTGATTAGTTTCCATCAGCTGCTTCTTGTCCAGCCTTCAGACCCTTTGGAGAATAGCTTGACCCCCTCCTCTTCTTTGGGGCAGCCCCTTAATTAAGCAAATCACTGCACTTGTTTTGTGAATACAGGATTCCCGCTGATTTTGCTTGTGGGAATCCTCTTGGGATGATCACAAATAGTGATCACATGACCCAGGGACACTGCCACTATTGGAAATTACACTGGTTGCCAAGCACACGAATTCTGATCACATGACCCTGGGGATGCTGGGATAGTCGAAAGCATGAGCATAGGTCGTAAATCACTCTTTTCAGCAGTATTGCAATTTCAAATGGTTGCAAGTCGAGGACTGCCTGTATTGTTTTATGACACACCACCCGGAGTGATTGTCAGGAGGTGAGCAGACATACATAGAAGGTGAGTAAACCAGGATCAGCCTTTGAAGCCACACCCGATCCCGATTCTTCTCAGGATTCCTTCTGCTCCTTTTCCAGGAAAGTGGGAACTCGGAGGTGATCCTGATGATCCTGGATCTGGCCAACCTCAACTCCGTGCAAGCTTTTGCACAGATCTTCCTAAAATCGGAGCCCCGTCTGGACATCCTCATCAACAATGCCGGTGGGTGCAGAGCAGACCCCCCCCCGGGGCATCAGGGCGAGGAAGTGAGAATATTGTGGGGGTCTCCAGGATTTCTCTTCCTTCAGGGGTTTGGCCACAACTTCAGAAGCAGCTCTGATTTTTGGTATCCCACCTTTATTATTATTTTTACAAGCAACTTGACGTGGCGAACAGATCAAACACGCCTTCCTCCTCCTATTTTCCTCAAAACAACAACCCTGTGAGGTGGGTTGGGCTGAGAGAGAATGACTGGCCCAAAGTCACCCACTTTGCTTTCATGGCTAAGGTGGGACTAGAACCCTCAGACTCCTGGTGATTGGCCCAAAGTCTCACAGCTGGCTTTCATGCCTACGGCAGGATTTGAATTCATAGCTTCCTGCTTTCTAGGCTTAACCACTAAACAAAACTGGATGCTTTAGAGGTACTCCACAACTTATGACCATTATGGAGCCTGCCCATTATGGTTGTAAGGTGTAACAGTTATAAAGTGGGTCGTAAAAAATGTCATAAATCCTCCACCACATGACGGTGGACCAGGTTGTAAGGTGAAGACCAGTTCCCAAGTGCCTAAAATGTGATCATGTAACACTGGGGGGAGGGGAAACATTGCAAATTTGGAACTGGGTTGCAAGTACACTTTGGACATCTGTTGTAACTTTGAATGATCACGGTGACCCGTTGTAAACTGAAGACTATCTGGAATCCGCTTACTTTTTTTGGCAGGGGTCTGTAAGGACGGTCAAACCACTGATGGCTTTGACCTGGGTTTCCAGGTCAACCACCTGGCTCACTTCCTGCTGACCCACCTGCTCCTGGACCGGCTAAAGCGCTGCGCCCCGAGCCGGGTTGTAATCGTATCCTCAAGTGGGCACTTCTTTGGGAAGATCGACTTCCGGACCATCCACAAACCGGTGGAGGGGATGAAGAAGGGTGGACTATCATACTGCAACAGCAAACTAGCCAACATTCTCCACACGCGAAAGTTGGTCAACCGGCTGGAAGGAACCAACGTCACCTGCTACGCGGTTCATCCAGGTGAGTGGAAGTCTGGCTCCAAGAAGCCCCAGATGGAGACACCCCCCAGGTCCTGCTGGGGCTCTGCCAGGCTTTTATCTCCCACTGGGGGCTCCCTGGACCCCCTCTGCAGAGCCACCCCGGGAGTTTCCTCCATTGGGCTGAGCTGCGGAGGAAGACGTTTCCCACCCTGCCTGGTCCCAGAGCTAACAGAATCCCAAAATCTTAGAGTGGGATGGGCTCTTGGAGGTCTTCTAGACCAACCCACTGCCTAAGCAAGGATGAGGCTTTTTATCTCCTCTTCCACCTCCTCTTCACCTTCCTTTGTCTTCCTCCCCCTCCTCCCTCCCTCTTCCTCCTCGTCCTTCGCTCTTCCTCCTCCTCCTCCTCCTCCTGCCATTCAATTCCTGTTCGTCTGCCGCCCTCCCCCTCTTGTTCCTTCTCCCCCTTTGCTTCCATTTACCTTTCCTCCTGCTCTTCCTCCTCCTCCTCCTTCCTCTCCTCTTCTTCCCCATCCACCTCATTCTCCTCCTCTTCCTCCTCTCTGCAAACCCCCCTCCCTTCTAGCACTGATGACGTTCCCCAGTTGAGTCACGAAATGTCTGTGTCATGGTTCCGAAAGATGAAACCAATTAAAAGAACTTCAAGGCAAAGATTTCCTCCTTAAAAAACATTTTATTCAGGAAACAGAGTATGGGCACTTACACAGTTGAACCCAAGACTGAAGTTCCCTCCCCCAGATACAAAGTAACACATTTGTAATTCCCACCCCAGAAAGGCTGTCATAAATCACATTCACCAATTATTCTAAACCGCAGGCTCTCCTCCCAACTTCTCAACCCCCCAAAAACTTTATCTAACATTGACCTTGAGTTCACACACAGCTGAAATTATCATGGCTAATTGAAAACATTCGAGCATCCCCCCCCCCTTTCTACATCTCAATATCTCAAATAGCAGAAAAAGCACAGTAAAAGCAAAAGGTAAAAGAGTTGCAGTTTCTTAATTGTCCCAATGTTGACCTCCGCCCCCCCTTAACAGAAAGGAGAGTCCTGCAAATCAAACAAAAGCCCAGGTTTGTTCAGATGTTTGTCATACAATTTACAAATAAGTCTATCAGCTTTTACATCAGTACATTTCACCCCAGTAGCCTCTGATAAGGGGTAGCCTTTGCACTGCACCAAATATGGTCGTTTCCCCTTATATATAAGGAACGGTTGCTAGAATTGGGTATGTCTAGTTTAATGAAGGAAGGACAAGGGGGGACAGGATAGCAGTATTCCACTATCTCAGGGGCTGCCCCAAAGAAGAGGGAGTCAAGCTCTTCTCCAAAGCCCCTGAAGGCAGGACAAGAAGCAACGGATGGAAACTCATCAAGGAGAGAAGCAACCTGGAACTAAGGAGAAACTTCCTGACAGTGAGAACAATTAACCAGTGGAACAACCTGCCTCCAGAAGCGGTGAATGCTCCAACACTGGAAGTTTTTAAGAAGAGACTGGACAGCCATTGGTCTGAAATGGTGTAGGGTTTCCTGCCTGAGCAGGGGGTTGGACTCCTCCTCCTTCCCCCCTCCTCCTCCTTCCCCCTCCTCCCCTCCTCCTCTTCCTCCTCCTCCTTCCCCCCTCCTCCCCTCCTCCTCCTCCTCTTCCTCCTCCCATCGTCTTCCCTCTCCTCACCCTCACCCTCCTCCCTCCATCTGGGTCACCCCAGAAGGTGCTTCCTTCCTTCCCAGGACATTCATACGACCAACTCTCTCTTTTGCTTTCAGGGATAGTTAGAACCAAAATTTTTCGCTACTTTCCACGGTGGGTATTTTGGTTCCTTTGGCTGATACAGTTGCTCCTCCGAGACTGCGACGCTGGTGCCCAGACCACCATCTACTGTGCGACCGAGGAGGGCATCGAGAGGCTGAGCGGGCGGTATTTCGTGGACTGCCGGCCAAAAGTGCCCTGGCCACAGGCCCGTGATGACCACATGGCCAGGAAGCTCTGGGAATTCAGCGAGAGTCTGCTGGGACTGACCCCTTAAGTCGGGAAGGGACAGAGACGGAGTTTGGGGTAACCAAAGGCGGGCATTTGATTAGACCGGGGGATTGAACTGCAGGGAATCTCAACACTACCCAGGGTCGGATTTCTGAGAATTTAAAAAACTGGAAAGAATTATGGAGTTTGTTTTGGTGGGTTGCCCAGGGTTGCCCGTAAGAATCTTTTAAATAAAGAAACAAACTCCATCAAGTGGCTGGTCTCTCTTTTCTCTATCGGGGCTAGAAGGGAGGAGGATTTGCAAGGAGGAGGAGCAGCAGGAGGAGGAGGAGGAGCAGGAGGAGGAGACGACCTGCGGGGTCCTTGTTGCTCTCTGAGCTGAGTAGTTTTCTTGCAGACATTTCATGACCCAACTAGGTAATACCATCAGTGCTAGAAGGGAGTGGGTTTTGTGGAGAGGAGGAGGAGGAGGAGGAAGAGGAGGAGGAGGAAGAAGAGGAGGAAAAGGAAAAGGAGGAGGACCAGGACTGCGGGGTCCTTGTGCTCTCTGAGCTGGGTTGTTTCCTTGCAGACGTCTCATGACCCAACTAGAGAACATCATCAGTTCTAGAAGGGGAGGGATAATTTATGGAAAGGAGGAGGAGGAGGAGGAAGAGGAAGAGGAGGAGGAGGACTGCGGGGTCCTTTGTGTTCTCTGAGCTGGGTGGTTTTCTTCCAGATTTTCATAACCCAACTAGGTAACATCATCAGTGCTAGAACGGAGTGAGGTTTGCATAGCAGAGGAGAAGGAAGAGGAGGAGACGAAGAGAGGTACCTGGTGCTCTCTGAGCTTGGCTGGCTGGGGAATTCTGGGAATTGGAGTCCATATCTTAAGGTTGTCAAGGTTGGGCACCCCAAATTGGCAAATAGAAAGAGTACAGAGAAGAGCAACAAAGAGGATCAGGGGACTGGAGGCTAAAACATACAAGGAACGGCTGCTGGAATTGGGAATGTCCAGTTTAATGAAGAGAAGGATGAGGGGGGACAGGATAGCAGCCTTCCAGTATCTCAGTATCTCAGGGGCTGCCCCAAAGAAGAGGGAGTCAAGCCTCTTCCTCCCTCCCACCCTCTTGACCCCCCCCCCAAGGGCCCTGCTGCTGGAACCTGACCGGACCTCGGGGCGCCCTGGCATCTCCACTGCCCAGCAACACCCCCTACGAGAAGGGCTGGCTGGAGTGCGCGTACACCATCTCCGTCTATCCCGGTTACGGTGTGGAGATCCGGGTGACCCCCAGCGGGAGGAAGGGCTGTGTGCCCAGCTCGCTTTGGGAAAGTGGAGCTGGCCCCCCTTGGCTCAACCTTCACAAGGGGTCTGGGGTCGGTGGGGGGCTCCCCAGCTTTGGAGGGCTCCAGGGGGGCGGGGGCAAACCCCAGACTGGGCAAGAGCCAATCAGAGAGCAATCATTCCTTTGGCCACTGTTTAAATTTAGAGGAAGTCCTTGGTTTACGACCACAACCGAGATGAGAATCTCTGTCGCTAAGCAAAGCGCCAAGTTAAATGTGCCCACTCTAACAACCACTTTTGCGACGGTTGTTCAGCAAATCATTCTGATTGTGAAGTGAACCTAGCCCTGTGCTTATCAAGCTGAGCCACTTTAAGACAGGTGGACCTCAACTCCCAGAATTCCCCAGGCAACTGGTAGCGCAAGGTCAAAAGTGGAGGTGTCCAACCTTGGCTACTTTAAGACTGTGGACTTCAACTCCCAGAATTCCCCAGGCAGCTGTGCCAGCTGGGGAATTCTGGGAGTTGCAGTCCACACGTCTTTACGTATCCAAGGAGGAGAAAGACTACTCTAACCATTAGCGCAGCTTCCCCTTCCTCACATTCCAAGCCCCAGCAGTCACTACAGCCCCTTCCAGGTATGTGAGGCTGTGATTGGTTGCTGTGGGTGTAAAGGGGGAGTTTCCCTTTTTTCCCACCTTTTTTTCTTCTGAGAGCTCTGCATACTGTTAAGATTTACCTCACGATGTTCCTGGGTTCCTGACTATCTTGTCTCCCATGAATGTAGATGTTAAATATATTTATTTATATAAAACTACAAGTTTGTGTCAGTGTCTCTGACTTCATTTGGACACCTGGCTGCACCATTCCCTGACAAACTCCCAGAATTCCCAGCCAATCGACATCCGGCCCCTCTTAACAATAAGAGAGATCCACCTGCAGAAAACAAAACAGGTATAAAAGTTAGTTAGGCTTGTTGGGATACTCTGTGTGAAACTTCTTCAATAGCTTTGGGGCTCTGACATGACATTTATGGACCCACTCGTTTTGTGAGGCAGAGAGGTGTTTCCAGACAACTAGGTACTGAGTTGCTCCATGATATCTCCTAGAGTCAAGGACTTCCTTTATTTCGAAGTGTTGTTCACCCTCCACCATGATTGGAGGTGGTGGGGGGGGGATTTTTGGCTGTAGAGGTGACTGATGCTCTCTTTTCAGCAAGCTGCAATGAAAAATTGGGTGTATTTGCCTGAGATTTTTGGGTAATTCTAATTCTACTGTTACTGGATTTATGATTCTTTTAATTGGAAAAGGTCCTATATATTTTGGTCCAAGTTTTTTACAGGGCTGTAGGGACTTTAGGTATTTTGTAGATAAGTACACCATTTCTCCTATAATGAATGGTGTAGGCTCAACCCTTTTTTTATCGGCTTGTGCTTTGTATGCCTGCCTAGCTTCATCTAGTGATTTTCTGACTATTGGCCAGGTGTTTTGTAGTTTTTCCATCCATTCTTTCAGTGAAGGGATCGTTGGTTCGTTTGGGGTTAACTCTGGCATAGGGTTGAAACTTTGACCGTTGGCTATTTGAAAAGGAGTGTAGCCTGTGCTGGAGTGGACTGCATTATTGTAGGCAACTTCTGCAAAAGGAAGTAAGTCCGTCCAATCACTCTGTTGGAAATTTAAAAAACATCTCAAATATTGCTCAAGTACCGAATGGCACCGTTCCGTTTGTCCATCCCCTTGTGGATGATGGCTAGATGTCAGTCCCTGAGTGGTCCCTAAGAGGGATAAAAATTCCTTCCAAAATGCAGACGTAAATTGCACTCCCCTATCAGAGATGATGCGTTGGGGTGCCCCGTGCAATCTGTAAATGTGCTGGATGAAAAGTTTTGCTAAGGCCTTTGCAGTGGGAATCTTTTGGCAAGGGATAAGTGCACCTGTTTGGAAAATAGGTCTGTGACTGTCCAGATAACAGTATTCCCATTGCTTTCTGGCAATTCCACTATAAAATCCATGGCTATTTCCCTCCAGGGAGCTGAGGGACTTGCCACTGGTTGTAATAGCCCTGGCGACTTCCCTTGCAACCTCTTTGCCGATGCACAGGTTGGGCAGCTGGCAACATAACTTTCTATGCCCTTTTTTATTGATGGCCACCAAAATTGCCGTTTAATTAAGTGTAAAGTTTTTACAAATCCAAAATGCCCTGCTGATTTTGTGTCATGGCAAAGCTGCATGAACGTGATTCTTTGGGTTGTTGGTATATATAACTTTTCCCCTACCCAAGGCAACCCGTCTCTCATTGTGCACACATTTTTGTTTTTCTGGAACCATTCATCTGTTTCCAAACTTTTTCTGAATTCAATTCCAGTTTGGCTGTCCAGTTGTGGTTTTAATTTGGCTTGGGTTCTTGTGGTTACTGGTGCTGCCAGTTGTGACTCTGCCATTATTGGTCTAGAGTCTGTGGTTCGTGCGCTGTTATATTGAGGCATGCGAGATAGAGCATCTGCCAGGAAGTTCTTTCTCCCAGGTAAATGTTTGAGTTTAAACTGGAACTGGTGAAAATGCTGAGACCAGCGGGCTTGTTTGGGATTGAGTTTCCTGGACGTTTTCAGGGCTTCTAAATTTTTGTGATCGGTCCACACCTGGAAGGGGATTTTGTTGCCTTCCAGGAACTGTCGCCACGTGAGTAATGCCCAACGTATCCCATAAGCCTCCTTCTCCCATACGGGCCAGCGCTGTTCTGTTTCCGTGAGTTTCTTGGATGTATATGCACAGGGTTGCAATACTGCATCATCATTTTCTTGTAATAGCACAGCCCCCACTGCCACATCACTTGCATCTGCCTGTATTATGAAGGGCTTGTCCATGTCTGGGTGCCTTAGTACTGGTTCGGCAGAAAAAAGTCTCTTTAGTCTCTCAAACGCTGCTTGGCACTCCATTGTCCATGTTAGTGGCTGGCTAGGTTTTACTGAGGATGCTCCCTTCATTTTTAGTAAGTTAGTGAGGGGCAAGGCTATCTGGGCAAATGAGGGGATGAATTGGCGGTAAAAATTTGCAAAGCCCAGGAAACTTTATAGTTGCTTTCTTGTGCGGGGTGGCGCCCAATCTAATACTGCTTTGACCTTCTCTGGGTCCATTTCAATGCCCTGTGGGGATATGCGATAGCCTAGGTAGTCTATCCTTTCCTGGTGGAATTCGCATTTTGAGAGTTTGGCATATAGGTGAGCGGCTCGCAGCTTCTTTAAAACCGCTCTGACAAGTTTGACGTGTTCTTCTTTTGTTTCAGTAAAGATAAGAATGTCGTCCAAGTAAACAAGGACCTCCTTAAACAGGTGCTCCCTTAGAACGTCATTGATTAATTGCATAAAGACTGCAGGGCCCCCTTGTAATCCAAATGGCAAGACTTTGAATTGATAGCACCCCATGGGGCAGTTAAATGCAGTCTTCCATTCGTCCCCTTCCTTAATTCTCACGCGATAGTAAGCTTCCCTTAGGTCTAGTTTAGAAAAAAATTTTCCCTTTCGATAGGTGTGACAGCATGTCTTTCATGAGGGGCAGCGGGTATAGGTTGCTTTCACTGATTGTATTCAGAGCCCTATAATCCACGCATAAACGTAAAGAGCTCTCTCTAAAAAGGACCGGAGCAGCCACTTTAGGCTTGGCTGGCTCAATGAAACCTCTCTCTAGGTTTTTTTTTATAAATCTTTCCATTTCCTCCTTCTCCTTTGGGCTCATGGAGTATAATCTGGGCTTCGGGAGTTTTGCCCCAGGCTTGAATTCAATGGTACAGTCTGTGGGTCGGTGGGGGGGAAGCTCATTCGCCCTCTCCTCACTGAAACTTCAGCAAGGTCCCTATATTCCTCTGGTATTTCTGTTAATCTTTTTTTCCTCTCCTATGGATGCTTTTTCTATTCTTGATTCTGGTAGCCTCCCTTGGGGTTTTAAGTCCATAGGGTCCCCCTTCGGGAATTTGATTTCTGTCATCCTCCAATTT